GTGTGAAATTTTTGCTTAAGTTGTTTTCGCTTGTGGAAAGTTCCGCTCAAGTCTTGGCTATCGAACAGCGAAAATCGCAGGTCTCTATCTGTCTCATGTGAGAAGTTATTCAGAAAGCAACCAGGGTCGCCGTATTTTAGCGACGATAGTAGTAAATCCTTATGCCAAACGGTATCAAGTGCCTTACGAAAATCTAGAAAAACACTTAAGACTCGTTCACTATTATCAAAAGCTAATAAGATCTCATGAACTATGGCGATCAATTGATTAATAGTAGAATCACCATGCCTAAATCCTAACTGGTTCGTACTTAGAAGGTTGGTACTCCCATTTTGAAGAGAACAACCCAGGCTATCAACTCATGAAAAAGAATCAGTACATTTCTATGTGAATTTCGGAAAATCCAGGCTAGTTTTCCAAAAATAGTACAACTCGGCCTCCTGATGACGAATATCAAGTTTATAAAATCTTAAAACAAGGGCATGGTGGTCTTCTAGATCTATGAAAATTCCATTTTCCGGCAGAACAGCCGTCTTGTGAGCATTTTCACCGTTTTATAGTGAAACGCTTTCAACATTTAATACTAGAAAAACGACGACAACTTCTCATATATTTTCGTTTGGACAGTCGAAACATTTTTTGACATCACCCCGAAGTCTGTATGATTAGAATTGCAAAAGAAATCTGGAAGGCCTACTTTTTGACCCTTAATATTAAGATAACTCTTGGAATTTTCGAGCTCAAATTTTTACTGTGAATTGACGGAGATCAGATACACATTCAGTGAAAATTAATTACTGTACTCTCTCTCCAACCAATATTACCACCACTACTATATTCTTGTATTGAAAAATAAGAAAAAATAAAAATAAATTCTTCTATCTCTTTATCATCATCATCGTGATTCATCCATTATAATTAAACTAAAGTAAAGAAGAAGAGCAAACGAAAAACAAAAGGGGAAAAACTGTGCGCTTAATCATGATTTTTAAGCAGACTTTTTTGTTGGATAAGCGCCATTTTGAGAGAAAACCGTCGAAAACATCTCGATTAAGCGCGATCATTGCTGAAATCGATGATTATCTGCGATTTTTGCAATAATCGCGCTTAATCGCGAGATTTAACTCTCAAAATCCCTCTTATTCAGGAAAAACTCCTCATTAACTTCTGTTAATCAAGAACACAATCAATCGACTGATCCCAATTTTGACAATATTCTTAGGTCATGAAGATCAACTCTGATAAATGATTGTTTCTTTTTATATATTTTGTTTGTTGATTGACAACTACTATCTATTGTATCATACTGTCATGTGTTTACCTTGTTATATTATTGCATGTAGTTTTTTTTCCAATTTTACCTTCTTTTTTTATATGTACTCTTTTCGTTCTAACATGCGAATAATCACTTATTCTTGATAAGCGAATGAAGAACTGAACTGAAATTTATTTTACACAACGGTAGGATATCGCAAAAAAGCCCAAAACAGATTTCTAGAATCCGAAGACAGCTCATGATAACCTAAACTTAAAAGTTTCTAAGAAGAATCGCTACTGGTTCTTAAAATCTATTTACATCAAACGATTAATTTATTTCTTACACTTTTGATTCAATGAATATGATTGTGTTGTACATTATACTTTGTTGAGAAATAAAAATGTCAGATGGATGCTGAAAACTTTGGAGATCAAAACTTTCGTTTTTTGGTGATCAATAGTACATTTACTCTACTTAAAACCTATTCACATCAAACGATTATTTTATTTATTACACTTTTGATTCTTGTATTTATTGTTCCAAATATGTGGCTAATTAGAAACGAACACAGCATAATCAAAATATCCACATATATGAGTCTACAGATACGTCAAAATTCAACTCTTGTCATTTATAATCGTGTACCAAAATGCGCCAGTAGACTAATGAAATCTTTGTTTATGCAACACTCGAAAAAATTGAACTTTAATTTAATACAGTCTATAGTATATACAGAATACATGCTTAATAAAAGTCTACAACAACAATTTGTTGAAAAACTTATGAAATATCCAGCAAAAACTGTATTTGAACGTCATATTTATTTTATTAATTTTAATGATTATAATCATTCACAGCCAATTTATATAAACTTATTACGACAACCAGTATCTCGTGCGATATCTGATTATTACTATACACGTTATATGTGTACGATTAAGAGAATTTGTTTTCGGTTAAATCGTGCATATACAAATGAGACATTAAATGATTGTGTAAAATATAATGAAAATCGAGCTCATGTATGTGTATCCTTAGCGCACGGTGTTCATTCAGCAATAGCTTTTTTTTGTGGTCAAAATGCCTATTGTGAAGATTATAATACTAGTACACAAGCATTGACAACAGCTATATCAAATATTGAAAAGTATTACATAATTGTTGGTATAACTGAAGATTTTCCTCGCACACTTTTCGTTATGGAGCAATTAATACCAGACATGTTTAAAAATATAAGACAATTATATTTAAATCAAAATATAAAACGGATACTGAATTATACAGAACGTCCATCTACAATTAAGTGATATCGAAAGTACACATTTTATTAGCTTATTTTTATGTCTGTCCTTCAAGTATAACGTCTAGGGCAAATACCAAGAATATATAAAAAGCCAACAACCCGTCAAACAAAAAAAATACTAACTGATGTATTAAAATATGAAATAGAACTGTATAAATTTGTTGAACAACGACTTTATTACCAGTACAAACAACTTTCCAAGAAAAATTCTGTATTACCATAAATAATATAATACCAGCATTTTGGATCGTTTATGCATTATTGAAATCATATTGTACTGTTCACGATCGATTTATTTTTTCTATACAGAACAATATTTCATATGTCAGAACATGTTTATTACTAACTGGATAAATGATCGGTGTGTATCTTTCTTACATGCTTCATTTTTAACCTTTTATCTGTGATGAAAATTTATATTTTTCCTCAAGGAAAAAGCAAGATACTATATTTTGTATAATGCACATATTCACATAGTGTGCAAAATATTAGCTAGTGAAATATCAAACGTAATATCGAAATAATCAATATTCATAGAACGTAAATTTGTCCGTTTCTGATATGAAACGGTAGCAGTATACCTTCTGAAACGGACGTTAACAAAGTGTTCTTATCTATCTTCAATTATCAAAAGGTAGATATTACTGAAATGAAAACCAGAGTACCTTGGGGTAATTAGAGACACTCTTTGAAATTTTCATCCTTTTTCTGCTATTTCTTGGCCGTTTTTGGTCGAAAAGACTTGCTATTGAACATTGTGGTAGACCGGACATTTTTCTACATGCTCATGTAAAAAATCTTTTGAAAATCTCTGGCCAATTTTGAGCCAGATCCAAAATGCGAAGAGCTTCACTTGTACGCCTGGGATAAATAGAGACACTTCATCCAAATACATGGAGTTTTAATGTGCAATTGCTGGTGAATTAAGCTTAGGAGATAATTAGTTCAAAAATACCTTATTTTATAGCCCGGATCTTCCTCTTTCTGCCACACAGTTTTGAGCTCACTATCATTTAAACTCATTAAGCTAATTAGCATATAATGAGCAGCACTAGAAATTTTCTTCCTTCCTTTTTATGCTTTGGAGTAAATAGAAACACTAGTGTAATTAAACAACCGGAGAGAGAGCACAATATCACTGACCGCTGCACATATTCTGCTCCTGTCCATTAGGTATTTAAGAATAACTTAAAGATTAAAAAGAACTTAAATTCTTTTCTATAATTTTGCATATACTATGTTTCATTAAAAACGTAAAAAAGTCAAAAAGCATCAATATATTAGGTATTTCTTTCGATTCGACATGAGTTTTGTCAGAGTTTCTAGTAACGAAAAAGCGGTTGTCAAACATCAAATTGTATTTAATCAAGTCGAGTTTTTAATGAGTAAACAAAAAATGACTGCTTTTCCTGCCAAGAAAAACATGGAACGAAAAACGTTCAGCGGCAAAAGGTTCCGTGACACTTTAACTCTTATGAGGACATGCACTAGGTTTTGCTACAGGTGATGCACATTTGAGAGAAATTGAGCATATACAAATCAGCAACTTGAACGGCCTATGAAGTAGAAAAGACGACGATGTTGAGAACGTCAGATTTTTCGACTTCGGTCTTTAGTTGGAGCGTTCGAACTATTTTCTTCTTATTCAACGTTAAAAGCTGAATTAAAAAATGATGTTAAATTCATTTTGAAGGTAAACGCCTGTCGACCACGGACGTTCGAATGGACCTTAGAAAAGAAGGGTGAGTCATTTTGTAAATCTCTCTAGTTTTTGTGTTAAAAGATGGAACCGTCGTATCAATGGTGTTGTATCCGCCATGAGTCCAACTTTAAAAGTAGAAGCCTACACCCTTTTTACTCTGACGACTAAAGCAGTTTGTTTCTCTCTTGTATACGTTTAGAGACAGAATCTGTAACGAGATTGTTATGAAAATCATCATGTTTGTTTTAAGTTTCTTTTTTATGTAAAATTTTTAACATAAATAATTAATATACAAGGAAAAATATAAATACTTGCGGTAACACGCTGAAAACTAAAAATACTCTCTCTCTCGCTCTCTCTTTTTGAAAGCAAAAGCTGCTGGTCATTTGCAAAGTGCAATGTGTATTCTATATCCAGTGATGAGCAACTATGTAAAAAACATTACAAAAACAAAGAATTTATCACAGTCGCAACCTAATTTCAGTGATTTTTCATCCGTTTTATATTTCATTCGTGATAACTTGTATTGTAATGTACAACATAACAAAAGCAAAGGTTGAAAAACATCAATAAAGAATCAATGAGATATGATTATGAAAGTAAAGATAAAATTGTCTCATGTTTTTCATACTGAAAAGACACAAGGCTTCTCTCTTTTGCTATTCAAACGAGGACACAATTAGGAGACCTGTTGCGTTGTCCATTAATCAGAGTCTAAAAATTAACATTTATACATTCTTAAACTTCGTCTCGTTTGCGTGTTTGGCGGTGTAGAGCATATTTTTAATTAACAAAATCCATAAAATAATAAGAAAAAAATGATGATAAAATGATCTACTTAGTTGAATTTTTGAATCTTCTTCAAAATTTTACGATTGTTGGCAATCTACTTGATTCCATTGAGTTTTGCTTTTATTTTGGCAAAAACAATACAACTGTGGAAACGAAAAAATATTGCCAACGGTATGAAAATGTCTCCAAGAGTTTCCCAACATTTTTTTCTATTTTTATCGTAGAAAGCCGTTTGAATTTTATTTGTATTATATTCTTTAGCGCTAAATGTGTCAAATAACCATATTGCGAAGCTTAATATTATCCATATTTTAATATTTTCTTCACTTAAACTCATCTTACTTTTATAAATCTTCCAGATAATAGCTGATTGGAATACTGACTGAATAATTGGTATAACTGAAGCGATTCAGGTTAAATGTCGTATGACACCAGTTAATGTATTCATTGGTGAATAGGTTATTGAACCAATGAGCGTAAGACAACAATATATACATAAAAATAAATTTGCGAATAATAAAAAAAATAAATCAATTTTTGATTCACTATCTAATGATGCATCATTTCCATCGTCTTCTGTATTTGTTTTAAGTTTGAACCATGAATAAATCGAAAGTATTAAAATAATAAGTGCAAGTGCTACTTCACACGATTCACTAATCAGAGTAACCACATCACTATTATTCCTTTCATTGTAATCTTGAAAAAAAATTATTGCCATTGACACACTGACCAGAAAAACACTGCTTCCACTCAAAATGAATGATAAAAAAAATTTACTCCTTTCCGTCCATTCCAGTGCCATTGCCAAATTACGAAAACAGCATAAAATCTTTGATCGTATATCCTTAAAACGTAGAATCTTTGATCTGCATTTAAAATAACATAAAGTCATTGACTGGCATGGAAAACAACGTAAAATATTTGATGTGCATTGAGAACATAGAAATACCGTTGAGAACAATATAGAAACATAATTTCTACAGCATGAAATCATTGATGTTTTACATTTTACAATGTGCGACATGGCTAACAATTCAATAAAGCAACTAATTCTAAATTCCAACCCTAATGGATATAAAAATGGTTCAATTTTCTCAAACGAATTTACACTATGGCTTTGATTTAAAATATGGCTTTGATTTAAAATACAGAAGTCATTTACTTGCTCCTGTTGTATTGTTTTTTGAACGAGTAATAAAATCCACTGCAATAAACAAGAAATTGCCAGGCATCCTATAAAAAATTTTGACAAAGAAAATTTTAATTCATGGTACTTATGATGATTTAAAATGAACATTAATATGAATAATTGACAAATACATTTGCAAAAATTTTCGCATACTGATACAATAATAAATATCATACACTCATGTGTTCTGTAATTGGCGTTTACAATCAAAATTAACTGATCGCCAAATCTTGTCAAATTAAATAATGAATCACCAAATCCAAGAATTAAAATAAACGTATTAGTAACTGAATGTGTATTATTATGCTTGTTAGGATGACTACTATCGTCAGAATATTCTATCAGAATGATTCTACCAATGCCAATAAATGATACGAAATATGTGCCAATCAATAGACTATCACCAATTAATCCATTTCTATCAAATACAGCTTTGCTCTTCAAAATAAGTACTATTGATATCAAAGGAAATAAAACCATACTAAAACCAACTAAAACGTCGTGCTTCTTGATACGTTTGCAAAGAGTGTTGCTATCATTTTTCGCTTCATTAAGAAGATCACAGTTAATAAGATGGGTTTGAATCTCATCACGTTGAGCCATCCTGTTTATTAATCAAACTTTTTATTCAAATAAGTGTATAGATATATAAACAATAACATTACAACATAATTTAAAGTATTTTTATACTGACATTTACACATGATGCATGATGAGGAAAAAACCAAAGAAGATAAGAAAATAAAAGACAAGCAAGAAATGAAAATAATAGAATTGTAATTATGTGTAAATGTTATTTTCTGTGTTATTCTATGTGGAGCAATATATTTTTTTCTCTCTGTCTTATAGAATTTTCTTCCCTCTACTGAGTTACATCATTACGTTTGTTACCGATTGTTCTGTTTTTTCACAAATTTGTTCAGAATTTGGGATTCCGAAAAAATATTTCTTCCTGTCCCATAACCACATGGTCCTGGATAGCTCTGGTAAGTTACTCAGTTTGCAGTCTTTATATGCCAAAAGTTGACAAAATATTAATATATAGAATAGACAACAGTGAAAACCCGACGTTTCTAACACTTTTTACTACTAAGTACTTAGTGACGACACTACTTTTGGATTGCCCTATCTTATTTCCTTATAGTAAGTTCAAGGAAATTTTCGTTTTTGATGTAGTGATACAGGAAAGAATGGTCTATTTTTCTATGCTATTTGATCATACTTCAACTAATATTATAATAATAAAATTTCGATAAGATCTGTTTTGTTTGTATGTGTTCCGGTAGCATGAACGCTGATTTTAAAAAAAGACGAATGA